CTTGCTTATTACAAGGTACTAAGGTGTACTGGTTTGAGTGAGCAAATGCGAGCATGCATGTGCATGTATGTATGTATGTGTCTTCCTAAGTTCGGGCAATTGTTGGCTGAAAAAAAAGGTTTAGGTAACTAATTTTGATCGTTTTTACCAACAACCACATACATAATTTGAATCGATCATTATACCTTTTCTCATTGATACTAACATATAACATGAGTAATATCAATCAAATAATCAACTCTATAATCAACAAAAATTATGGAGTCATGAGATTTTAACATCAATTTAATTTAATCTTAATATAGAGTTTATGATGGTAGTGTTTGTATGAAATAAGCAAGCGGTTGTGCAGTGTCTTATGAAGCGCGCACACATTTTTGATGAACCTCAAATGTTGTAAGTTTCAAACTGTACCCTTCGAAGGCCATGGTGGAGCAAAATCAGTTTCTAAGTTGACATCTAAGGAGAAGGAAGCTTGTGGCAGCATGCTGGACAGCTCTGAAACGATCAGCAATGGGGTGTCAAATTGGGGGGGGGGGGTTAATGAGGAGACTGTTTAAAGAGTCTCCGTGATTGCCACATCTGCCATTATGCCTAGCTTTTTATTTGTGGGACCAAATCATGCTTAGTTTTTTGCGCCTTTTATGTTCATTTGTGTCAGTTACGTTCATTTATGGCTAGTCTTTGCGTTGTTGTGTCAGTTAGCGTGTTGGCTACATTCTGGTTGCATAAATGGCTGTGGGAAGGACGTGATGAAAGCTTATGATAATATGCTTGTGTTGTGTGGAGATTCTCCAGACTCTAGGATCGTTTTTAGTCAAGATTCTCGCTCAATGTAACTTCTAAAGATTCTTTCAGACCTTAAACTCCCTAGCCCTATATTGGCTCTGGGCTTTTAATCCAAATCCTCCTTGATTGCTTTATTTTGAGTGTCTATTCTTCTCAACATTTTTATTCTGGTGCCTTCCCACAGCTCACTATGAGGTTCTTTCCTTTCAGTATTTTTGTTTTAGTTCAAAAACCATGTTATGTATTCCCCATAAAATTTGCACTAGAATTTGTTTTTCCTCTTCATTGAAACTGATGTTTTTATTGTGAAGGGAAAACAAGAACCTCACTGGCACAGCTCGCTATGCAAGTGTGAACACTCATCTTGGAATTGGTGAGTGATATCTTTCGCTGATTTTTCTTTTTCCTTTTTTGCATTGACTACCAATGCTGCAACTGAATTTCTGGATAATTATGACTTACGTATATTAATTTTTACTTTACGGGAAGAACAAAGCAGAAGGGATGATCTGGAATCTCTTGGTTATGTTCTCATGTACTTCTTAAGAGGAAGGTTGGGCTCATGTACCATTCCTACTGGATCTTGGATTTAATTACAATATCTTACTATCTGCTTTCTTAAGTCTTTTTTTTTTCCTTTAGTCTTCCTTGGCAGGGACTCAAGGCTGGCACGAAAAAACAAAAATATGATAAGATTAGTGAGAAGAAGGCATCAACTCCTATAGAGGTACCGTGACTAGTTGGATCTGTGTCTGTTTGCTCTAGACTTGTGAAATTTTATTTTCCTCTAGAACTAGAGTTTTGAACCAGGTTGGATGTTGACTAATTTCCCTCACTTAAATTTTAAGCAGATTAATTGTTAAAATTAAAATCAGATGGTAATTTGCTTGAAGGTTGAGGATAGACTGAATTATCTACATCTTTCCCAATCTTAATTTAATCTTTTAAAGTGGGATTAGTTCAATTAGATATTTTATTTCGATTGTCAATTTGTCTTCACTACATAAACTTTTCCTCAGCCCTAGGAGGACCTATGATGCCCTGGTAGTCGCAAAGACAGGCCAGGCTTTGAGGGTCATCCGTCTCGTGAAATAACTTTTGCCTTTGCATGTGAATACCAGCACACCTTATGTATCTTATGTATTTGAACCATGTTTAATTTTGACTGTCTACTGTTTACTTAGATCACCTGAATGGTCTCTCTGGTTGATTTTCACTTTGATTAAGTTTTCATCCTATATTCCATTGCATTCATTCGAGCATTACATGTACATTTTCCCCTCTTCTCTCTTGTCACTTTTCTGAATTTTAATGGTCTCGTTGTTCCATTGCTATGTTGGTAATTTATTTGCATTTGTCTACAGGTTCTCTGTAAATCATACCCATCTGAGTTTGGATCTTACTTCCACTATTGCCGATCATTGCGTTTTGAGGACAAGCCAGATTATTCGTATTTAAAGAGACTTTTTCGAGACTTATTTATTCGAGAAGGTCTTTTACCCTTGTATCTGATTCTAATTTGGGTACTTCTTAGTATATTCTGCTGGAATATTTTGTGCAGTCAAGTACTGAAAAATGCTTGACTTTGTCGCTGCAGGCTATCAGTTTGACTATGTTTTCGATTGGACCATATTGAAATATCCACAGATTGGTTCTAGCTCTAGAGGACGGGTTGGTACTTTAATATGTTGCATGCATGGATTTTTTTCCCCCATAGGTCTCTCACTGTAGTTGTTGCTCCATCAGCACGGCAGTGGCAAAGCAGCTATGAATGCAGGACCATCTGTGCAAAAGCCGGAAAAGATGTCAGGTCTGCTGAGTCAAATATGACCTTGAAATTCTTATCCTAGTATATCTTATTGAGTTTATTCATGCGTGTGGTGGAATTCTGAGTTATTTTTGGCTTGCTCAAAGAATATTATCTGAATGCATTAAATTATCTTGTCTTTCTGTTCATCTCTTTCATGAAAGTACTTTATATCTTCTGAAATGTGAATTGCATAATATCCTTGCTCCTGCAATTGCATCTTTCAGTTGGGAAAGATCCTCGAGAGAAATTCTCTGGCACTGTTGAAGCATTCTCCAGGAGAAACCCCCCAAGCTCTAGTCCTCGGGGTGATCAAACTAGGCAAAGGATGTTTGAGGATGTACAGCAACATAAGGATATGGTAATTTTCTTGTCCTTTTTTCCCAAGTAGAAAAGATGAATCTTCATCTGAAATTTTCCTATGGGAAGTTTTATTGACCTGGCTATCTAGTCTGTATGGATGCTTGCGGAGCATGATGCATGATAATGCATTCCAGGATCTTTAGTAGCGTGATATAGTTGTGAACCACCAATCATAGGGCAAATCATGGATCTTCCATCAATCCTTTGATTTAAAAATCGGAAATGGCGATGAAATGGAAATTTGTTAAAAGAATAGACATAAACTCTTAAGAGCAATAACAATTTTTTTTTGGGGGGGGGGAGAGTATTTATGAAAAACGAGAGTTCTGTTTGGGGTGGAGGTCGAAGTTGCACGATGCTTTTTTTCTGATTTTTGGATGGTGATAGCTTTGATTCTATTCTACTCGCATGGGTTCAAAAAGCAATGACTTTTAACTTTTGAACCTGTGAGCACCCATTTCGTTTGATTTGTCCTTCCTAAAAGTTCTCGTGTGTGTGTACAAATTTGCATTTTTCATTGAAATTAATTTATGCGGTCTTTTATGTCCTGTGTCATCAGCACCGTGAACAAGAGAAGGTACACAGTTCTGCTCGATACGGAAGCAGTTCAAGGAAAGCCCTCATCTCATCAAACAAGCCGAGTTCGTCGGCTGACCACAGTGATACTCGTACTGGTCGGCTGACTACAAGCAGTAGCCGCCCTTCTACCACACGCGCCTTGTATGAGAGCAAACAACCAAGTTTTACTCGCAATACATCTTCTAGAGGCAATCGTGATGATCCTCTTAGGAGCTTTGAGCTTCTCTCTATCAGGAAGTAAGGGGCTTCCTTTTCTGCCTGAGAAATTTTCTAAATTCTGATGCACTTGAAATGCTAGATCACTTTTTGAGTGATCTCAAGAACTTTGGAATCAATCATGTACATGGGATAGTACTGAAGCAGTGCATGGTCACATTGCCCAGATGAAATCATTTCACGACCAGAATGGTTTCCCGCCCCCCGGAGCGTCTTCGCAAGATTTCTCAGCCCCGGTAACATGTTTGAAACATGCTGGAGTGAGAACTCAGCCAGGATTCTTTCTTCTGGCCTTTCTACAGGAAGGAACTTGTGTTTACTTTTTCAATTTCTTTTCTTGGTCATATAGAAGATGAAACTCGAACCGTGGCAAGTCCTGTCTATGATATACGGTTTTGCTCGCTCGCAAGTAGAGCTGTCTTGGCATGCGAGTATGCGACTCATGCTTGAATGAATTTTCTTCCCAAATTTCAAGTATTTTTTTTCCAATATGAATCCTTTTTTAAGACTAATAATTGGTAATGAAAATATTATATCTGTTTTATATTTAATTATTATGGAATAGAAATATCAAAATTGAAAAAAAAAAGATTTTATTGATTTAAATTATTCATATTAAATATAAATATTTTCTAATCGTCCCAAAGATGGGCTGAAAATTAACATTATCAACAAATTTGACTGATGAACTAGTCACATTTTTGGGCCCCCGGTAAGCGCTATATTTTTGGTGAAAAGTATTGTTATTTTTTCCTAAAATGGAGTAATTAATAATTATGAATTTCTTTTCGGATTCTCAAAGCAAGCTTGATAATGTTATGAATATAAAATCTATATAGATGTTCATATTTTTCTCATTTGTATTATCCCATAATCATCTTCTATTACCATGGATATTATAGATTTGACTAAAGTTAAGGTTGTAAAATTGTGTATATAAATAGAGAGCGTATATCATATGCTCAGTATCTCAAAAGTAAATAAGAACAATTTTCTCATTTTCTCTTCTCTTCAATTCTCTACTCATCTATAATCCTTTTATCTTGTTAAATATCTCATGATTCCATTATTTTCATAATAGATAAAACAATATTCACCCCAATATTGTTTTTTTGGGAACAATCCTCGCGGGCACGCTTTTGAAAGAAGATTAGGGGGCCACTGAGGATCTTAACGACCTTGAATATATTTTGTTTGCCCAAAATTACATATATGGCAGTCTACATGGCAGACTGGCAGTGATTGATTCCCAAGAGTTGCCATGTGCAGGGAAAAATAGGAAGGCCTATGGCATTGAGGGTCATTATCAATTACCAAGGCATGAATTTAATAGGTACAAACGAGAAGCACTAAACAAACAAAGGAAGATCGAGTCGGCATTTCAATTCACAAAATCAACATCAAATTACGCTATTTGTGAATAGAGCTATTCGTTCAATCTCCTATCGCACTAGCATCTCTTAGAATCCATCTACTACTTAACAATAACCTCTCACATTCAGAACAGATTCCTTGATAAAACAATAATTTCAAGTGAACCCATCAAATCCCATAAGAGAAATTGAGCCCAAGGATTCTAGCAGACGGCATTGTGTTTGAAAATCCCGTGAACTCAACACAGAAAATTATGGGTTTCTTAGAGATGCCAAACGTTTCTCTAGGTCATCAACGCCCGAGCTGAAACATACAATTTCCAAGGTCAAGGAAATTATGTGTTTATTCACAAGCAAAACAGCTTCAATTATATCGATATAAAATATAAAAATGTTAGGAAATGATACTATTCACAAACAATAAATAGTGCTGCCAATATAGGATTTCATATAGATGTACAAGGTCTACCCCGGTTTGTATTAGTAAACAAGGAGCAAGCAACAGTAAATCCTTAACGATTTAGACAATGTACATGGAATCTCAATCTCTTAAATAAATTCTTAACCCAATAATAATGACTTGAATAAATGTTACAAATTCATATGGTACATACCTGCTCGCATTTTCAGAACTCTTTGTTGCAATTCTTCCTTTAGGAGCCGCTGACAACTGAACGAAAAGTTAAAATACAACCCAATTAGATTGAGCACAGAAACTAAGTGAAAGTAACAGAAGGTGAGTCATGAAATTTATAACACTTGATTCCAACCTGCGAGGCCACATCCACGCCAATTTCATCAAGCACCTGCCAAAATTGAGAGACGAGTAGAATCAGTTTCATTTTTGATAAAAGTCATTGTTTCCCCTTAAGAAATTAAAATCTTAAAGTCGGTGCCCAGCCCGACTCCACCCAGTAACTATTACTACTAAACATTTGGAAACTATGACAAACCAATTCATACAAACTTCAGAAATAAAATTGTCATTTCAAATCTTGAGAATAAAAGACGAAGACACAATGCAGATATGCCGTGCCAATTTCCTTTTTGCTTCTTTTTTTTTTTTAAAAAAAAAATCTCAGATTTGTGGGGAGCAGTACAAGGATGATAAAAACAAGAGTGTTGCCTTGCTTCATTTGAGACAAACTGGCCACTCAAGTGTACATAGCAGGAACCTTTTAATGATTAGGGAAGTTATTCCAGTACAAATTCTGGCAGAAGTTACAGAATATAACAGAGACTAACATGCAATGAAAGAAAATACTTGAACGAAGGTACCTGGTTTGTCAGGTCTTCAGTCTCCTCTTCAGCTTCATCATTATCCAATGCATCATCTATGGCATCTGACATCATTTCAGTCTGCATGATAAACCATTAAGATCCATAAGCTGAGATAAATGAAAAACAATGATTTTCTATATTTTTCCTCCTCACAAGTGAATCTACTGAAGTAAAAGAGTCATCTTACAGTCATATCCATCTGCGCTGATTGTTTCTGGAAGTCTCGTAGAACTTTTGCTTGCTTTGCAGGTTCCATTTGCTGCAAAAGAATATCCTAGTTTTAGCATGGGAAGTGAAAAACAATCCAAAAGGTCCTTTATGGACTTCAATGTCAATGTTCCGCTCTGGAAGAACAACTTCTATCATCACTGCTGTCCAGATGCAGCCTGTTGCCTTTTAGATTATCCTAAAAAACGGACAACTCCATTGGGTGCATATCTGTAGTCCTACTTCTTTCCTATGCGTGTGCAAGTGATTGCAAGGAAGTGGAGGAACACTACCTTCTACCATATACGGGATAAAAAAAGAAAACATAAACTTGACATTCATGTTCTGATCATCCTATCCTACTCTAGAAACTTCACTCTAACAAACTGTGCAACAACTCCAACCTTATCCTGACCAGCTCAAATTTTGTACAGAATTTGCTAATCACTCTTTTGGTAAAATATCAAAATGCATTTGCTCATTTCATTGAAATTGCACTGCCACTCACAGATCACAGAAAGCTTTCTTCTATTTCTTTTCTTAAGGAGGGATGATAAAAACCAAACAAAGCAATGCACAATGGCACAATATACTAGAGTTGGAACAATTATATACACAGACATGCACTGGCATCCAAATAAAATCGAAAATGCTACCTTATTCATAGCTGCCATTGCCTTACTAGCACCTTTCATACCAACAGCAACAGAAGACTGGGCATGCATCGCCTGCAGGAAATTGCAAACATAGCTAAGATCACAGAACATCTATCTGCTTCTTGCTGCATCACAAAAACCAGGATTCAACAAGTTACCTGTGTGTGAGTTGCTATGCCTCTCATCTGAGCTCGACTACCTTGAAGATTAGCAATTTGTTGCCTAAGCCTAACCAATTGGCGAGCTAAAACTTTAGTTGCTGCCTGCAAATTGCATGGGCAAAGGAGATACAAGGCATATTAACAATAGATCAAGATGACAAGAGTTGATCTGCAGAAAATCAGCATGGGACAAAATTATTGATAATGCCGATCACACCTCGTTGCCAGTCTTGGCAGTTCTCTTTATTTCGGCGAGAAGCTTTTTTTCCTAACAATGTAATAGCCTTATTAGCTGTGACAACAAAAGTTTAGAAAGAGGATCATCATTCGTAATATGTTTGACAGTTTGACATACTTCCAATTGTAATGCTCCAATTTCCTTCTCGATGCCTGAAGTATACATAAGACCAAGAAGAACTGTTAACATAAATACGAACCAGCGCTTGTTAATGTAGTGAAAAAGTGAAAATTTACCCCTAGTAGCGTGTGCCATTTCTCGCTTACTCTCCCTAAGAGCCTCTGGATAAAATAAAAAGGCGAACAAATGACATAAGAGCATAGGTTTTCACTAAAATTTAATACGAGACATCACTTCTGCCCCCGCCGGGGACCCAAAAGAAATGAATTTTATGCTATAAAAAATATATGAAGACCTAACATCAAAGTGAACAATCAACCCAACAAAAATATATTCAAATAAAGAAAACAAAAGAAGAAACGAAAAATATAAGATAGTGATAATTGAGCAATGGTAAGTTGATTTGCTCAGGGAAGAATATGAACATAACAAAAGAGGGGGAATCAAAGATCGGGCACAAACCTTTGGCCGTGGGTTTCTTGGTGAAGATGTTCATGGCGCCAAACGGAATGGTCAATACGGGAGCTCCTCGAAGTCTTCGTCAAAGGTAATTCCAAATTATTTAGAGAAAAGCTCCAGAACCATAAGCCAGAAGTAGAAGAGAAGGATCCTGGAACTCACGTCGCCGTATTTTATCTCTCTTCCTCCCGCGTCTCTGTTATATAGGTTCGGACTTGGGTTACTTAATCCAATATCTGATTTATGAAGTACCTACCTGCCACCTGGCCATTTTTACACTTTTGAACGGAGACCCTTTGAGATTCTGCGAATCACGAATGGCCCCTCAACCACCATGTTTATTTATAAAGATCACGGCTGACGATTATTGGTTAGATCAATCCCTACGAAACAAAATGTCTCCTCCTAATGATTATGGGTTCTATTTCAATAAAGCCCAGCTCGGGCTGCTTAATTTCTAATTTTTTTAAAATTCATTTTGTATATAAATAATAATAATAATAATGCGATACCCCGAGAAAACGCCGTGCATATGCAACCCAATCAATAAATCTTGGCTGTTAAAATATCTCCATATTCTCTAAGAAGTGGAGTATTTATTATGTGGGCCTGATGAACAAGTTAGCTAGCGTTTGTTAACTTCTGTAAATGCAAAGTTAAAAATAACGGTTTATTTTCATATAACAAAATCCTTTATAATTTTAATGACCCTTCTGAACGAATAATTATCAAGAGGGGCTCTAAAATCTCCTTTTTCCACACACGTATATTTACCCAAGTTTTCAAACGGTATTTAAATAGAAACTAAATCATAATTTTAAAAGTAATTTCAGAAAAAAAATTTATTTTAATCTGTGTTAAAACATTTTTTCTAAATAATTTTGAGATATTTCAAAAATCTCCTACATATTAAACTCATAGTCATTCATTACAAGTCATCTATTACACTAGCTTTGAGTATGAATAAAATATTTTTAATTTAGCTGCAAAAAAAAAAACACTTTTGTTAACCATCCACGGCAAAACAACAAAAAATTAAAAATGTTTTGTTAATTCGAAACAAATTTTCTTACATCGTACAGTACAACACAATAAGTTACTCCTCCGGTCCTTATTATAAGACCCCTTTTGACTTTTTATTTGGTCCTAATTATAAGACCCCAATTCACTTTGTCTCTTATATTATGCATTTTTTTCCAAGATAATCCTTCTAGTAATGATAGTTTTAGCTAATATACTTAATTAGCAAGGATATTTTAGGAATGACAACACTTATTTACTATAAATAACCAACTTAACTTACTTCCTTAATATCCTCAAATAAATCAATTGGGTCTTATAATTAGGATTGGAGGAGTAATTCAAATCCCCACGCCATGACCAGCAGGTAGTATTTCCCATTGGACAAGAGAATCTGCTTGGACTCGGATTGCTGGACAAAATTCTCCTCATATTTATTTTATATTTTGTGAATTATAATTGAAAAATTGTTTTTAAATCATTCAATCTTCACTGTTCACTCCACGTGCATCTTCAAGGGCCACTTTGAATGTGGCGTAAAGTGCAATACGCCAAACAAGATTATTTTAGAGCTTACATTCCAGCATCGAATAATCATGCTTCAGATTTGTTTCTGGCCAAAAGAAAATGTTTCAGATTTGTTGTAAACTAAAAATATATTATTTTAATTAATAAAATATTAATTGTCAATGTTTTGGTTTGGATTTTCTCAAACAATTAACCTTAACTTCTCATGACATGACTTTGGCTTTTGCCAAAACCTAACATGAGTAAAATAGCTAGTAAATGAAAATACTACTTCTGATTATTAATATAAGATTTTGTTTGATTCTTATTTTAGTTTTAGATATAAAATCTCAATCCAATATATCTCTTATATTTATTTATTTTTTTAAGATAATTATTTTAATAATGATAGTTTTAACCATTAAACTTAATTAGTAAAAATATTTTAAAAAAGATAATATGTATTGTAAATAACTAATTTAATTTTTTTTTGATTTTTTTAATCTAGTTAACGCCGGAAGTATTTACTTTTACAACGGATGGAGGTAAATCATCGAAGTCGCTTGAAGAAATCGTCTGCATCAAACCACATGCTATAGATACTCTGGCCAACTCAGTCAATTTCTTCGACAGGTAGTTTTCATCGATTGTCTTCCGCGACATCGTTTTCGACTTGCTCTTTTGCTTCCTTCATACTCTCCAACATTCCCACCTTCCGAAGCGCTTTATGCGACGCATGGCATTGACTGTTATAGTATTATCATTTGAATAACTCAAGAGGGTCAGGGCACCGCAAGAAATTTTGCAATCTTCTCATCCCTGGTTCTGAAATTATATGAATTTCCACGATCTTGCTAGAACTGAGAAGGTGGTTTATATTCTGTCGCGGCCTTTTCCTCCTTTCTTTGATTGGATAATTTTTTTTTTCAAATAAAACATCTCATCTTTTCTCGGTACTTAAGCACTGGATTAATATTCAGAATCAGATTGGCTGGACAAATTTTCTGTCAAACTTGTAAAACAGATGAAGATTTGATAACAAAATTCGTAGATTTTAGGGGGAAAGGTGATGGAAAATTTTTTTCTGGAGCATTTGAAACCCACCCCCCCCCCCAAAAAAAAAATTGAAGGAAGCTTTAAGGAAACTATGCGAGTTGTATTTCTGAAAGATGTCTTTAACATTGAAATTGGTTTATTTTGTTTGATGTACTGAGGTTGGATTGTTCACCTGGCAGCGCTTAAATACGAAGTCCTAGCAACTGGCGAGATGCGACGAATCCCATACCTTCGGTTGCGGAGAGCACTTTGACACTTGTTTTTGTTTGGGAATGTTTGGGAAGGCAGATGGTACGACTGAGTTGGATGCTTTCTATCCCATCCGACCAGAATGTATAGCTGACGTTCCAAAGACTCGTTTTAAACCAAGGGTGCGGTTTTCTACTTTTTGATTATTGTCTATCGTGGCTTCTCAATATTATTTGTTTGAAAAAGCATATGAATTACTGGTATGTGGACGGTTTTCTCCTATGTAATGCCATAATGAATTGACGATGCATTTGTGATATTCAACCGGGAGTCTGATTGAAACTTGTAGTATGTGATACTAACGCTGTGTTTGGTTCGATGGAGGGAAGGGGAGGGGAGGGATTTTAATCAAGGGAAGGGGAGGGGAGGAAAGGGGAGGGTAGCTACAAAGAGGAGGGGAGGGAGGGGGAAGGAAGGGGAGGGATTTTAATGATCTCCTGTTTGGATTGATTGGAGGGGAGGGGAGGGAGCAATTTTAATAATACCTTATTTTGTTCTAATAAAAAATTGACTATTTTAGCCTCATAAAATTTAAATGAATTTTCTCTTTTTTTTATTTTGTTAAGATATAACTATATATATAATACAATTCACCAATTTTGAGTTACAAGACATAGTCACACACTTATAGAATATCAAGATAAAAAGTTACGAGTGATAGATTTCAATCTAAGAAAAGACCTTGAAGGTGAAAGAAAATATCAACAACCTCTTGGAATTAGAAGAAGAGGAAAAAAAAAGTTTACAAATGCTCACTAATTTTGGAGACAATTATCTTAATAACCTCTTGTTAGATGCTCAAAAAAACTCTCTTATGTAGAAATGTTTACGACTGATTAAAGGTTAATAAATCAAAATGATATATAAGGAATTGAAATATTATCTCTCATCTCCCCTCCAAAAAACCCCACTTTTGGAGGGGAGGCTAGAAGGGAAGGGGAGGGGAGAAGAATCCCTCCCCTCTTTAAAAAACATCTTAACCAAACGAGGGAAGGGGAGGGGCTCCCCTCCCCTCTTAAAAAATTACACCAGCCAAACAAGGAGAGGGGAGCAACTCCCCTCCCCTCCCCTCCAAAAATCCCGTACCAAACATAGCGTAAGTGGGATGCTTGGCGCTTAAATGGATTGGTTCTCCCACTTCAACAACTAGCTTTTGGGATAGGATTGTCATCCCACTTAGGTATCCATCGTAGTCATTCATTTAAACCTTGCAATTTTTCTAAAGAAAAATCATGTTTACTTTTCAGCATTACTATTGCATATACGTGCACAGTGGGTTGACTTTTTTTTAATACTACAGTTCTTAATATAAAACCCCGTTTGACTTTTATGTTGGTCCTAAATATAAGATCCCAATCCATTTTGTTTCTCATATTTACTCAATTTTTTCTAAGATAGTCCTTCTAATAATTATAGTTTTAGCCAACATACTTGATTAGTAAGGATATTTTAGGAAAAACAAGACCTATTTATTACAAATAACTAACTTAATTTCTTTCCTTAATTTTCTCAGATTAGTCAACTAGCTCTTATAATTAGGACTGGAGGTAGTATTTCAGCATTACATGATGATCAACACTTTGGTGCTTTCTATTTCAACAGGCTGGCAAAACTCTAAGTGAAAGAAGATGGCATGCTTCATTCACTCAAGATGGTCACTTGGATATTGCCAAAGTGCTTAGACGAATCCAACGGGGGGTAATCTTATGATACTGTTCAGATTTAGATGACTCTGTCCTTATCGAATCATATATTATGAATGTGTGAACATGCATTACATTTGAGTTTAGTCATGGAACATTTGTTTGCAATTATAATATATGCATTGGACATGCATATATTATAACAGGCCTGTAATGCGTTGATTTCTGTAATAAGTCTGTTCTGTTTGTCGGGAGAATATTGATGACTTTTGTTAGTTAATAAGAAATAGAGTAGCTAAGTTAGTAATTACTTAGTATAACGGGTTATTGTAAATACCCGAAGTGTATTGTGGTTATATGTGTTGTAGTGAATCATTTCCCCTGCATCCTTCCACATAATAATAGTGATTAATGATGACAATCTGATGTTTATTTTATTTTGCCAACTGTATCATAGGTGATCTTTCTTGCTGACAAAATTAAATTTTACTTCTTTTTTTTTTAATGTTTCCTATTTTTAATATGTGTGCTCTCTTACTGATGTCAATTTTTATTTTTATAAATTGTGCAGGGTATACATCCTTCAATTAAAGGAGTAGTTTGGGAGTTCTTGTTAGGCTGCTATGATCCTAACAGCACGTTTGAAGAACGGAATCAACTTAAGGAGCAAAGGAGGTATAGATTAATTCAAGTGTATTTTTGTTGAACTCATAATTTAAACGAGAACAAGAATACAAAAATACTCCACAGATTCATATGGCCCACTAAAGTTACCCATGCTATTTTAGTATGCAATTAAGTGCTTTTAGTACAGAATTAAGTGCTGAGTTCTATTGAATTCCATTCTTTTGTCCAATCCCATGAACTAAAAAATTTATCATGTCTTTTGTTTTCTTCAAATATCAATCTAAATCTCATACATGGTCATGTTTTCTTTTATCTCCTAAAAAGCTAGGTGGTCTTTTGAATTTGCCAGGTTTTGAATCCCAAATCTGCTGGTTCTTTTCCTGCCCTCCCTCCTTTGTCCTTTGTTGGAAATGCTAAATATAATTGTGTGGTAAATTTATTATTCAGGGAACAATTCAACACATGGAAAGCTGAATGTCAAAGGTTGGTTCCAGTTATTGGTACTGGAAAATTCATTACAACACCTCTCATCGGTGATGATGGCCAGCCAACCGATGATTCTTTGATAAGTGTGCCTCTTTCAGATAAGAAAGTTCTGCAGTGGGTACAGACGTTACATCAGATTGGTATGTATGCGCTTTTCATACTCATTAAATGCTTTGTAGATATATCCATTCTGTCCGGGTTTAGTTTGTTGTACAACTTTTGCTACATGGTCTTTGGCCTTTTCAAAATTGGTTAGTTAATGAATCTCCCTCGTGAAGAGGAAAAGTGCCCTAAATATTAATTTTAAATTCAAATATGAGGATTAAACATGCATAGCAGCGAGCTTGTGACATTCAAAATATGCTCCCAGGATTGAATGTAACAAACCAATTGCATATTCATGTTATATAATGAGATCAAGAATGATTGGCTTGTGCCTTAGTTCTTGTGGCGTTGACATCTGGTCCATTGATATTCACGGTGCATTAGCATCACAAGGAACATGCTAGCTGGATGGGTTTATGCTGTAGAAATGTTTGCCTGTGCTTTCAGTAACCATCCACACTGTTAAATTTTTATTTTTTGTTGTAGGTTTGGATGTTGTAAGAACTGATCGAGCTCTTGTGTTCTATGAGAGTGAAACTAATCAAGCAAAACTATGGGATGTTCTGTCAATTTATACGTGGTTGGATGATGATATTGGCTATGTGCAAGGTGAATTACTATTTTTCGTCCTTTTATTGTCAGATTAAAGTATCTTCAGGTTGAGAGATTCCCAGGTATTACTTCTGTTGCAGGAATGAATGATATATGCTCACCCATGGTGATACTTCTTGAGGATGAAGCAGATTCCTTTTGGTGCTTTGAGCGTGCAATGCGAAGGCTGGTATGCTAGATATGTTGTTGTGGTTATGATACGCTATTTTTTGCCTATGAGTGCTGCCTTCAAGTGTTTGTTGTTTAGGTGATTGATATTAAAATAAGAAAGTCATTGCAACCTATGGGCCGTAGATATTAATAATAAGTATTTGAGTCATTTGTTTACCGAAACAAAAAAGTATTCGAGTCAATTAATGATTTAGCACTTAGAGATTACTCACCTTTAACTTTGGTCACGTAGAGAAAAGCCTCTCACTTTAGTTCGTGGAATTTTTCCTGAAACTACTTTGTACCGTCTAGGGTTAAATTCACAACTTGTCAACAAAATGTCCCCAAAGATAAAATGGGAAATGGAGAATGGGGATTCTTTGACCTTTAGAGAATTTTGCGGCAAATTCTGATTTTAACCCTACAGACAATGCCATTTTGGGAGAAACTTGTGAGATTTAGGAAAACAACACATTTCTTTGGTAGTTTATCCATGAATGCATCTATAACTGCAAAAGGTGTGAGCAGCTTAATCCTGAAATCATGAGTCAGACTCTAGAGTTGGCTTCGGTTTCATTCTCGCCTTTGGCTATTGCCCTTGCTTTTATTTAAATAGTGGCCAGTGTTTGTCCCTAGATAATGACTTTTTGTGATGAGTTCACACCCCTGCTGTTTTTGCATTATAGAGAGAGAATTTCAGGACCAGTGCAAGTTCAATGGGGGTGCAATCTCAGTTGAGTACGCTCTCCCAGATTATTAAAATTGTTGATCCCAAGCTCCACCAACATCTTGGTATGGTCAATATGTATGGTTAACTTCTCATGTGTCATGATTTGTATATCGTTTCAAAAGCTGTTTCTATATTATCATTTTGACTAGAATCAAAGATGTTTCAAGAGTGGAAGCATACTTTTGAGATAGCTGATATTGATGGGAAATTCTTTCTTACAATCATATATTTTGAGGTTGCTCGATTACGGAAAACCTTGCTCCATCTTTTGAAAGTGTGTTGTAATTGTTAATTTGGCTATGGTAGTAAGGGTCCTCTCAAAAAAGGATTGGTTACTTGTTAATCCCTCTCATCCTTATAGTTGTCAAAATTCATACAGAAACATTATATTAGTTTGAATGCCCTCAAAATAGCTTACAAACAATGTATATATTTATTTCACAGATGATTTAGATGCTGGGGAGTATCTCTTTGCATTTCGCATGCTGATGGTTCTTTTCCGCAGAGAATTTTCATTTGCTGATGCTCTTTATCTTTGGGAGGTAAGGAGTAATTGGTATTGCCAATCTATATGAGCTCATTGGGTAAAATTGGGGAGTTTGGAGTCTGTACTAGCTCCAAATTAAGAAGCTCATTTTAAAACATAATATAGATTGTTTTCAGTTGATGTGGGCCATGGAATACAACCCAAACATCTTCTCATTATATGAAAAACCAGAGACTTCCCAAACACAAGAAAATGCACCTGTAGTGAGTGGCAAATTGTTGAAGCAGTACGGCAAATTTCAGAGGAAGAACTTGACAACAGGCAATACTGAGCAGCATAGTGCGCTAGCAGTTTTTCTTGTTGCAAGTGTTCTTGAAGTGAAGAATAGGCAGATCTTAAAGGAGGCTAAGGGTGTAGATGATGTTGTTAAGGTCTCTCTTTCCATCCCCCTGCATAGATGCATGTATTAATAGTTTCAAGCACGCATTAGTCATTTACATCTGTTTCTGCTTGCATCTTGCATGAACCATTTACATCTGTTTCTGAATGCATCTTACATGAACCCTTCTTTCCAGATCTTGGGTGACATAACGGCAAACCTTGATGCTAAAAAAGCATGTACTGAGGCATTGAAAATTCAGAAAAAGTACCTGAGTAAAGTAAGTTCCGTTTTGTCTTTCCTGGTTTTAGATGCATGCTTTCTTGTTTGTTTAGGAGAAGTAGGGTAGGATTTATGGGCCGTATATTTCTTCTCATCTTAAAATAAATTGTCCTTTATTTTTTGTTTTTGTCCGTGGGGAGAAAACAATGCTAGTTGCTAGATAGAGTTGGAAGAGTAAATGAATGAGATCAAGTGCAGAGAAACAAGTAATCTATAATTCGAAACATGCATTAGTCTTTGGCTGTCTTACTTTCCATTTTCTCATTCTCAATGGCATTCGCTTGTGTGTCCATCTGAGAGTATGAAATTTTGTAACAATTGTTTGTTCATGCAGACCAAGAAGGCATGAGAGATATTTCTGGTGGCAGCAGTGGATACTGAATCTTTCTTCGGCGTGTGAAATTCTTCGAGGTGTTTGGCCATTCGTCGTAGGCCAACTTTTTCCTCTTGTAATAGCTAGCAGCTTCTTACCCCTGTTCTTTTTTTCATTTTAACGTTCTTCTTACGCCAATCCTGAATTGAGTACCAAACGAATTTGCAGCAGGGAATTGAAGCCTTTGTATTTTTACAATAGGGCGTTATTTGGTTGTCATCAAGGAAGGATTTTTTTTTTCAAAAAAAAAAATTCAATTCTTTAGACAACAAGGGTAGCATAAATGGCACAAAATATAAGAAGCGAGTTGCATTTTTGATGGCTTAATAATGAGGTTGGTTAAGAGTTTCTATTTTGTTATTTATATTATATAGATATTTTAATGTTTTTATAATTATTTTTATTATTATTGTTTCTGAAAGACGTATTTCTGTTAAGATTATTATATTTGGCAACTAAACTTCGTCTTTTTAATTAATAGCAGCTTTAAAAATGAACTCAGGAGCATGTCATCACTGCTCACAAAATTTTCGTGCGTCATACAGCTTCCTTAGCTATTCACATGCTCCTAATAATCACCATTATCATATATATACTGTTCTAGTTTTTAATATAAATCACTTGTATCATTTTATCACATACCAAAAAATGTACTAAATTAATAAAAAAATTCAATTTTATTCTTATTAAATTTTTTTTATGTTTACAAATCATTTTCATATCTCTGCTTTCTTTTTTCTCTTTCTAATAAAAATTAAATAAGCATAAAATTAAAAAATCAACATTAAAGTACACTATTAATTAATTATTTTAGAACCAAAACTTATTTTTGCCAATAACTGACATATATTACCAATATGGCATTTGCTAGGTCGTGAGCTAAAATGGGAGGGTACTTAAATATTCTTAAATATATATATCTATTTGTTCTTTCCAAAAATTGAAGGGAATGAATGTAATCGAAGTTGAAGTTATGCCGTTGGCCGGGAACTGACGTCCTGCGATGGCGGTATCGCGAGGCGGCTCCCCTAAAACAGACAGGAGGAAGCAACACAACAATAGAATTACAGTCATAGAAGAAGCTTAAGACGCATGTTCCGGTGGGGCCACGGAAATCAACGGTGGGCCCCACGATGCAGGCTATAAATAGAGTTGAGGTAAATATAAGTAATATTATTTAATTGGTGACTGGAGAGTTCTGACCAAAAAAAGTATAAAATTACCACATTAACAATTAATTAGTTTTATTTTCTTCAGTTAATAATTTAGTATCATATCAGCTCTCATGCGGGGCAACGTGAGACGGCGATCAGCGGCTGCGTGTCGGCTTTAAGGAGCCCTTGGCGGCAAGCGGCAGTTTCCTTTTGCAGTTAAGGAGCCTCACCTATAATAAAGCTCGCAGGGTCATAGCCCCAGACGAGACATTATCATTAATTGATTAGTTCGTGCTGCTTTTTCGTAAATGCAAAATGTTGCCGAGCGTTTTTCTGCTTCTGCTAGCTGGCCTGCTCCGACGCTTTGTTAGTTATACTGCGCCTCAGAGTCGTATCGTATGACTCTGACCTCACCTCACTTCTGTCCTCTGGCCCCACAATCATATAGCGCTCGTACGATTGCCACTAGCATACCGTCCTCCCCTCACTCGCCTCTCTCTCCTGTCATTTTCTAGTTCTCCATCAATTTCACTAAAGCTAACCACTAACTTCGTGATCCTGCACTGTTATGCTATACTTTTCGTTGTTAGACTGGTAATCTTCAATTATCTTTGCTTGTTTGTTTCATAATTTTTCTGGGTTATTTCGTTTTCTGTCTTTCCCACACCATTTTCACTGCTGTACCTTATATGCTATATGTATCTGCTCTCCCATCTTCCTCACCAGCCTACTTGCGCACTTTTCTTGCTAAACCTCGCTGTTCTGCTTCTCTGTCGTTCTTTTCCTCTTCTTCTTTTCGATGGCTTTGTGTCACCTAGTTTTTACTCTTACTCTCGTTGTCATCTTCTCTCTGGTGGTTTTCTCGTACCAGCAACCTCCGCTGGACGCTGCTGAGCAGGAATCGGTTTACCGGGTGCTGGACTCAGTCAACTCGGCCATTCCGTGGCGTTCTCTCTTCCCCGACGATCTTTGTGTCTCTGCCCCTCACGGCGTGGTTTGTGACTATTCTTCTGAATCTGATGGTTCTGGTGATGGCAACGAAACGGCACACATTGTTGAGTTGAACTTCGGGTATTTGTCAGACTTCACGCCTAACCCACCTTGCTCTCAAAATGCGACTCTCGACCCTCTCCTCTTCAGTTCGTTTAAGTACCTTCGCAAGCTCTTCTTTTACAAATGTTTCAACGGGTCTAGGGTTTCTCTGCCTGATGTTCCTCCGTCTTTTGGTTCGGGTCTTGAGGAGTTCGTGTTCATCGAAAATCCGTCTTTGGTAGATCCTTTGGATGGTATATTACGTAATTTTACGAATTTGAGGAGGCTGGTTTTGACGGGAAATGGGTTTTATGGTGAAGTTCCTAACCTGATAGGTGGTTTAGTTGGTCTGGAAGAGATTACGCTGTCCAGAAATCAACTTGCTGGTGAACTTCCTGGGAGTTTAGGTGATTTGAAGAAGCTAAAGCTTCTTGATCTTAGTCAAAACAATTTTGAGGGGCCTATTCCTGAATCACTTGGTAGTCTCACGGAGCTTCTAAAGCTTGATATGAGATCCAACAGATTCACGGGTAAGATCCCAGAAAGTTTCAGACACTTGCAGCGCCTCGAGTTTTTAGACCTCAGCTACAACCTTTTCGGTCAATTTGGAATTCCTCTGTTCCTGGGAGAAATTCCCGGATTAAAGGAAGTGTATTTGAGTGGGAATCCTCTAGGTGGGAAGATTCCAGAAATATGGGAAAATCTTGAAAGTATCAAAACAATAGGGTTTTCAGACCTGGGTTTGATTGGTAACATCCCTGCATCAATGGGGTTTTATCTCAGAAACCTGTCTTATCTTGGGCTAGATAACAACAAGCTTGATGGGCCTGTGCCTGAGGAGTTTTACCACCTAGATCTAATAGAAGAAATAAACTTGGAGAACAACAATTTGAGTGGTAGAATCCCATCTTCCATGGAATTCAGAGAAAAGCTAAAGTTGGCAGGAAACAGACGGCTCTGTGTGGACGACACATTGATGAATGCTAAAAACAGAGGCAGCTTGGGGAAATTAAAGCCCTGCAGCAAGAAAGCAGATATTCCTGATGTTGTCACTTTCAATGGAGTTTCTTTGGTCCAATTTTATCCTCGTTTCTTGTTCACTTCCCTGGCGATTTTGTTTGTCTTTACATGTTTATGAGGGTGGTTCATCCTTAGGACTAGTCAAGAAGAGACCAAATTTTTTTTTTTGCCCATTAAAAATAGCAAATCACATGTTATACTTAGTGTAGGTAGGAATTTTAAGAAATGCCTCGCGGAGGAATGGTAACGACTAGTGATAACTGATAACACTGCATCTAATTAGTGCCAGAAGCGCATGTTCATTTATTTTCCATTATTTTCCATTATATTTTTTGGTTTTGTTTTATTTACTCTTTTGATGGATAATATGCATGCATGAGCCGCTTCCCAATGCCAGTTTTTACAAGTGGTGCTGTGGCGGCAAGCGTAACTCGAGCACACATATTTTTTTTCACTCGAAAAACGAGCACATATATTTCTGTTACAACTTACAATAACGTACTACAGTACTCTTTTACAGAATATATATTATATAAGAGTAAAAATAAAATTTATTAAATTTTAAGACAAGTTATAGATAAAGTTTGATATTTTTGCTAGTTTCGATAAAATATATTGAAAATGTCTTGTAAATAAAATGAGGTGAGTATTGTATTATGAGAAAAGTAGAATTTGACATCATCACTCAAAGTTTAAATTGCCCTGTTAGAAGGAGTAAACTTATCCAAAAATAATAAACTAAAGTTCCATCCAACAAAAGATGGGCAAATACAATTAATTAATTTGTATGCAAAAATGCGATTGCCAAAAAAAGGACGATTTGTAATGGGGAAACTAGAAACAGACAATTAGAAAATGGCGAAAAAATATATATGGACAGAAGAGGGGATCTTGTTTCAAGTCTGGACTATGCAAAACTCGTTATTTTTGGACGGCTGTGAGCAAAACACTAGCTGGTTAGCTAGTAAGAAGTGACATTTACCTACACGGTTACACCGGTTTCTGTGGGTGAAAGAGGGGGGTGGGTGGGGGACAAAATACTTACACCAATATCTCGAGAAATTTCACTTATCATTATCCTTTTTCACTCTGTGCGTCCTCGTCGAAGGACCTTTGTTTGTTCCTGGACTTTGTTAGGGAGCAAGACGGCGACCCGACGTCCAAATCCGAGTTTTGAGATTTCAATCTGGATTTTGTTGATCCGCCACCAGCACTACTAGAAGCTTCTTTGGATTTCTTCCTTCGGGACTTCTTGGGAATGCCAGGCAGATTCCTCGCTGGCGACTCACTTCCTTCGCCCAAATCACAGGCCGCGGAGCTTCGAGAATCCTTGTTTTTCGATGACCTTCTCTGCCTTGGCTTTTCTGGCTTGTCTCTGCTCGGTGAATCCATGATGAAGTCGCCGCTCGACTGCCGTCTCGATGACTTCGGTATATCCGGTGAGTCTCTATCCGACGAATTCACAGATCTCGGCGTTCTTCCTCTTGAATCTATTCGTAAAACATCAACCATTATTACTGATTATTACACAGTGAATATGGTCCAAAAATGATCATCCTTTCACTTCTCAATTTAAATCTTACAGATTGGCAGTTTTTATCATACATGCAAAATAATGGTGGGGCTGTTTATATATATATATATATATATATATATATTAAATCTATACTTTATCATAATTTGTACGTGCAGATTTTGTGATGAGAATGAGCTGAAAGGTAAACCATGGGGAAAATCACGATAAGTACTAACGAAGGGGTGTAACATCCAAGTGGACAATATGTAATGATGAGCTCCGCTGTAAAAAATACTAATAGATCCATACTCTTTACTTGTTATAGGAATTTTGTCGGTGACCATGTATTCCTTTAGTGAGACCTGAATCATCATGATTTTGCCATTTATAGACTCCATGTTAGGTCCAATACACAAACTCTAGAGCCAAAAAGGGAACTTGATGCGGTTCAATTCAACAACCTGCAGGCTTCGGGAGCAAGAGATAAAAAGGGTACGTACCTTGGGAGGTGAACATGTCAATCTCTCTGTTAGCGTTGATGTTATGAAGGTCTCCGTTAACATCTGGAGGAGCTCCCGGGGTGTTTTTAAACTCGTTCATCTGAAAGGCTTTTTGTGAGTACAAATTTACACCCACCAACCTATCTATATACTATACCCGAAACTGCACCAATGTATTTCCATAATAAATAATGCTAAATACAACAATACAAGAGCCGTGTAACTATTTCATAATTACCCAGCTGGGTGAATTTACTGATGGGCCATCCCATCCTATATGAGCCACGTGCTTTACGTCTGTAGGGTTACCAATCTGCATTTCTTCCTCTTTTTCATTATCTGCGTGCATAATCATTCATCTTTTTTCATTACCCTCATAAGAAATCGAAGTCACTATACGTACGATTAAGAGAAAAGGATTCACGAACCAAATATCTGAGAAATGTATCTCAGCCCTTTCAGAAGGCCCTTCACCTTATTGTTGGACGACGCCGCCATTACATCAAACTATAATCTACCTTTGTTGTGCGTGAATGTATATACCCGATGAGATCAGAATCAATTAATTCTCTCGCAAGAATTCATGGGTTTTTGAATTGAATATTCCAGGGAAAATCCATGGGGGTGTGTGGTTTATGAGGCACATCCATGTATGTGTTTTCCTTCTTTCTTCTCAGGGACTTGGTTTGCGAAGGATGTGTTGTGTTTGTTTTGTGGGAGATGAAGAAAGAGAAAATCGGTTCAGGAGTTGAGGAGAGGTTTCGATCGACACAGGAAGTTTCATGGAAATGGGAATGATGTGAGAAAAAGGATGAAGCTGAGAGAGGAAATCGGTTTAAAGGATATCCATCTTTAACTTCGTTAATTTAGTGGCGATAATTTGTTTGTTGTTTTTTACACATCGTTCAAATCCACAAGCTCATCGAAATTTTAGGTGTGTCGTTTGGGGCAATAATCCCACTGTTAGAAAGTAATCTCGAACGTACGTGCTGCTGTATTATTTACTATTTATGAAGGTGATTTTCCCTGGGCAAACACATTAATTAGGAACGTCGACATATAATAATATAAGGACTTTGTCAAGGACGTACGGGATAGTATATATCTTTTTCCCTTACATTGATTTTATGATTCAATTACCAAAGAAATTGAGATTTACTTCTTGATTTTTAATGAAGCATCCATATTTTAGAACTCAAATAATAAGCGAAATATAAAAATGGGATTTTAAATGTTTTACTGATGAGTTTCTTTAACTTATAAATTATCTAATATTAAAATAATGTTAACATTGACAGCAATATCAAGCACATTTTTTCAGCTAGTATAGCTAACATTCTCATTATTCATCAAACAAATTTTAGTTAGCTATCCTGCTCATATCATTTTAGTTAATCTTCGGGGGTTTGATTTAAATACATAAACCTGTATTTAAAAAATAATTGAGTGGTAAAAAATATACACATTAGAACAGAGGACCAATTATTTATTATGCTTCAAGTGAAAAAATTTATCCTAAAATGCCGCACTTTGAGAAGAAATTTACTCAGCTGCTACTAATTTGTATGGAGATATTGTAACGCTAGAGTCTCGTCGTCCCAAAGTCGGATTTAAATAAAGTGGACTTCGTTAGAAGTTAGAATCAAAGATAATTCTCTATTTTAACGGAGGTTTTCTCTCTCTTGGAATCCGTGCTTGACGAAGGTTTTTGCGATGGATGAGAAAGTGCCCCCAAAAGTTCCACTGGACAGACCTTCGAACGAACTGGTGCTAGAGAACTATAAGAAAAAAAAGAAGAAGAATGGACATGAGTCATCATCATCTCCTGAACCGTCCCCACCCACATTGGAGGGGAAAGGAGAAGAGCAAAACCCCCCTACTCCTATGGAGCAAGACATAAGCAAGGTGGCAGAAAACGAAACCATGGATGGACCATGCGAACGTAAGGAAGGTGAAGAAACAGTGTCCCCCAAGCAGCCTAAAGGATTCTCGTACCAAGATTCGCTACTGGGAATGGGATATAATGGAATGGAAAATGGAGCAGCTGATATGAAGGAAGACGAACTTATGTCAGACTTGATGAACAGAACATGGAAAGTCCCGGAACCACTGGAGGAAGTGAAACAATTGATGCATGTGTATCTTGTCGTCCCTATCAAACAGGGCGAATACAATGAATGGTGCCTACCTTGGAATACCACACTCATCATCACGGTTTTAGGTCAGAGATATGATGTCTATCATCTTAAAGATTTGCTCGCTCGTATCTGGGGGATCAAAGCTTTTTAGGTCATCGACTTGCCAAACAATTATTTTTCTGTACGTTTTATTGATAAAGAAAACTGGGCAGCCCACTATAACAAAGTCTTGTTTGGGGGCCATGGGCAATACATCAACATTGTGTGTTGGTGCAACGCTGGTCACCTTATTTTGATGTGTATAACAATCAGCTGCGAAGAATTGCTACGTGGGTTAGAATACCAGGAATGCCTCTTCATTGTTATAACAGAGCTTTCATCTCGAGGTTAGGTGGGCGCATTGGATGAACCCTAAAGGTTGATATGAATACGTTAGATGTGGGAGCTCAGTCAGATCTCAAAATAGAGCGGGGTCGGTTTGCCAGGATCTGTGTTGAGTTGGACCTACAGAAGAAGCTGGTCCCCCGAATCATTACCGCAGGTGCGGTGTATAATGTGGAATATGAGGGGCTCGGTCTCCTTTGTTTCAACTATGGGAGATATGGTCATCAGAGATATTCATATCCTTGGGCTCTAAATTGTGGATTAGACATGGGTATGGCAGGACAAGCGCCATCAACAAGCACGACACCAGTAAAGACACTAGAAACTGCAATTCCTTCTCTGAGTGATAAGTTTGGCCCCTGGATGATAGTCAGAAAGGCAGGTAGAGCACGCAACAAGAGGTGTGAGGGAAACAGAGATTCAAAAGGCAAAGTTCAAAGGGGTATGGCTAAAGTCAGAAAAGTAGGGAAACCTTCCTTCCGGATGAGGTTTGACACCTTAGCCGACCTAGAGCAAGAGGAAGGGATGTTAGAGGGTCATTATCCTAACTGGAGAAAGAATACCACTAAAGGGGGGGATGAGGGTCCCAAGATGTATCCTAACTCAAATAGGAAGGGACCAGAGAACCAAAGCAAACAAAACCAGAGGAAAAATGGGAAAAAGGCCGAAATACCAAAGTCAAAAGGAAAGGAAAATGTGGGTATGCCAGCTACCACAAGTGAGAAGCAAAGGATGGGTCCAAGCCCAAAAAGTCAAACCAGTCCAATAGTCATTACTAACAAGACCAGACCAATTACCGAAACCCAAAGAAGACACCTTGTGGTGAGTAGAAACCTTCAAGAGTTGGAATCCCGTGTAATGTTACCAATTTCCAAACCAGGCCCTTTAGCAATTGTTGGGCCCATTAATCAAACTTGTTCAACACAGGGACCACCAAACAAACCGTTTCACCTGGGAGAGCAGATGCCGTCGAACTCGACCAATGATCATTGTAGACCCTGAAGTCATAGTTCACAAGAGCAAGCTTCCTGCACCGATCTACAGATAGCTCGGAGAAATGAGAATGAGCCTACCTTACAGGCGGAGGGAGACCCACTTGGTGGAATGGAATTGATGGAGTATGTGGAGCAAGAGGTGGATGACTTTAATGTCGAGTAAGTCCCTCATAGCTACTCCTTGGTTTTTTAGTTTTTTAATAATTATATCAACATGGAACTGTCGGGGGTGGGGTGCAGAACCTTCCCTCATTTATTAAAAGAAATCATTTTTAAGCATGGGATCTCTGTCATGTGCTTGGTCGAGACGAGAATAAGTGGTAGTCGGGCTAATAAAATTGTACGTAAACTGGGCTTTTTTGACTGGTTGAGGGTGGAGGCAACTGGTTTCACAGGAGGAATTTGGTTACTCTTGAATAACCAGGAGAGAAATATGGAATATTTGGCTTCAAATATGCAACTGATCCATTGTAAACTCACTGACATGAAAAATGGCGAAGTAGCTTGTGTAAGCTTTGTGTACAAGGAAACAAATCAGGCTAAGAGCAGAGCGCTATGGGATTCTTTATCTGCCATTCATGACAATATGCGTGAAGCTTGGCTTGTTTTAGGTGACTTCAATTGTTTCTTGGATGAAGGGGATAAAATTGGAGGGAGTCCTCCAAATAAACTCGCAAGTCAACAATTTAGAAACTGTCACTAGATGCGAATTGCTAGAGGTGCCGGTGATTGGGGATCATTTCACTTGGGAGAAAAGTAGAGTCAGAGAATGACTAGACTAGGTCTTTTGTAATTTTCAGTGGGAATCAACTCACCCCCTGATGAAGGCCCTACATTTGTTGAAATACAAGTCTGACCATCAAGTCCTTGTAGTAGGAAAGCCATCAGACAGATCTAATAGAGTTCGACAATCCCCTTTTAAATACCAAGCGGCTTGGTGCCTTGAAGAAACTTTTGGTGAGATTGTTAAATCATCTTGGGCAGACAAAAAGTGGGAAGAGGGATGCAGAACTTTCCAGAATAAAGTCAGTGCCTGGAATACGGATGTGATAGGAAGCATACCAAGATGAAAGCGAGAAACCATAAGGAGACTGGAAGGGATTGACAGATGCAAGCAAGCAGGCTCTCCAAATGGGCTCTGTAAACTTGAACGAAGGCTATGGAAGGATTACCAAAAGCTCTATCATCAAGAGGAACTCATCTGGTACCAAAAGTCTTAATGTAAGTGGCTTTAGTATGGAGACAGAAATAAGGTTATTTCATGCTACAACGGTAATAAGAAGGAAAAAGAAGAATATTGAGGCACTGCAAGACGTGAATGGGGAGTGGTTCACAGATGCTAATAACTTGAAACAAATAGCAGTGGATTATTTCACCAATCTGTATACAAAGGATAATTCAGTGACAACTTGTCTAAACTGGCCATTGAGTTTCCATAGCTAGATACGTCTCAACTTGATTTCATTCAGAGGGAAGTTACAGCCATTGAGATCAAGAATACGACGTTTGAAATGGGTGCCTTCAAAGCACCGGGCCTGGATGGCCTTTAAGCCCATTTCTTTCAGACCCAATGGTAGTTGGTAGGAGATAAGGTTTGTAACCTGATACAAAATGAGTTCAGGAACCCAAAAAGCATCAAGAGCATTAATCAAACAAACATCATCCTCATACCTAAGGTAGACCATCCAACAACTCTTAAGGAGTTACGACCTATTTCTTTGTGCAACGTCTGGTTTAAGATAATCACAAAACTCCTTGTGAATAAGCTGAAGGGAGTTATAGGACGACTGGTCAAACTAAATCAGTGTAGCTTTATTCAAGGAAGACAGAGCTGCGATAATATAATTATTGCCTAGGAAGCTATACACACAATGAGATCTAAAAGGTCTGTCAAAGGATATGTTACTATTAAAGTGGATATGGAGAAAACCTATGATAGATTAGACTAGCATTTTATGGAAAACATGTTAACCTCTCTGGGTTTTGCAAATGCCTTTGTGAATATCATTATGCAGTGTATCTCTATGGCTTCTATGAGAGTACTTTGGAATGGTAATCCCTCCATTGAGTTCTATCCGTCAAGAGGGGTTCGCCAAGGGGATCCTCTGAGGCCCTACCTCTTTGTTTTGTGCATGGAACGACTGGGACAGATCATATCCTATGAAGTCAAACAACAATGATGGAAATCGTTGAAGTTGAGCACTCAGGGACCAGCTTTATCTCATCTCTTTTTGTCGATGACCTGGTGCTGTTCAACGAGGCCTCCTCAGCCCAGATAGAGGAGATTAGAAGAGTCATGAAATTTTTTTAATGGAATTTCAAGACATAAAATAAATGTACACAAGTCAAAATGTGCACTTCAATAGAGCTTATGAGTATAGCCAGATGCTTGGTATTACTTTGTGCGCAGACTTGGGTAAGTACCTCAGAGTTCCCCTGTTACATAAAAGAGCAGTTAAACTCCACTATGCTCCCATCATTCATAAGATTCATAAGAAGCTTGCCAAGTGGAAGGGAAATTTTTTAAGCATGGCAGCGAAGACGGTGCTGATAAAGTCAGTTTTATCCAGTATCCCAGCTTACCAAATGCAAACTCTCCTCTTGCCAAAAGGGGTCCTACAAGAAATTGATAAGATTAATCAAGACTTCTTCTGGAACCATAGCCAAAGCAACAAACGCATGCATATGATAGCTTGGGATACAATCAAGAAAAGCAAGGATTATGGTGGCTTAGGTATTAAGGACTTGGTTTGCCAAAATACCGCTTTCATAATGAAACTTTACTGGGGATTGCTAACGAAAACGGAAGCCTTATGGGTCAAATGCCTTAGAAGCAAATATGACTGTGGTTCTGAGAAACTCCCAAAAGTTGAGGAAAAAAAAGAGAACAGTCAGCTGTTTAGAATAGTATTGTAAAAGTCTGGGATTCTTTCTACAAGGGTGTGGGAAGTAAATTAGGCAACATAGTGTCCACAAATGCTTGGGGGGAACGGTGGTGCCCTACAAATCTACCTCTCATCCAGCATGTTGAGAAAAACTTGCACATAATCTATCATGAAGACAATGTGAAGAGTTTTGTAACAACAAAGGTGACTGGGACATCATGAAGCGGCCAAACTTCTTACCGCACTAGGTTGTGGAGAGGATTAAATTGGTTAAACCTCCAAACAGAGTGGATAATGATTGCTTCTATTGGAGGAATTCCTCAGATGAGAACTTCAGTGTAAAGTCAGCGTACAAAATGATGTTTGAACAACAGCAGAATCAAAACGAAACACATTGGAACCGCATCTTGCGTTGGCCTATCTCTGAAAGAGCAAAAGTCTTCATACGGCAAGTTTTCCATGAGCGAATACCTACCAATGCTCTTAGATACAAGAGAGGAGTGAGTGAGAATCCCTACTGTCCGTTTGAGTGTCAAAGAGAGGAATCTATTATTCATACACTTCGTGACTGTGAGGAAGCAAAAAGAGTGTGGATTTATTTTATTGACCCAATGTTTATCTCTGGTTTTTTTCAACTGATTTACAGGGATGGCTTAAATGGAACAGTAAACATAATCCTAGCACAAGACGATTTTCTCACTAGCCGTGGCTTAAAATCTTTGGAAGTATCTGTTGGCTCATTTGAAAGAACAGATGTAGGAAGGCCTTGGAAGGGACACACGAACAAGCAGGCGAGGTGATCAACAAGGGCATCCACTATTTTATGGAGGAAACGTCAAATAGCAGGTATAAACACAAAATATACCAAGTGCCTGAAAGGGAGGAATGCAAGTGGGCGAGACTGAAGGAGGGCTATGTCCGTGTTGATGTAGATGGCTCGGTAGACAGCAGGAGAAATGCAGCTTGTGGCGGGGTTATTAGGGACGATCAAGGCAAATGGCTATGTGGTTTCCAACAAAACCTTGGTTTTATTCCATCCACAACTACAGAATTGCAAGCCATTTGCATTGGGCTTCAGGTTGCTAAACAATCGGGTTTCAAGAAAGTTCAACTATTCACAGATTCAATCCAAGCTGTTCAACTACTTATGAATGATCACGGAAACTTCCACCCGGTAGGTGATGTGATCGATAGAGCGAGGTCGCTGATCTTCTCCAATTGGGACCTTGAGATATCTTTCTCGCACAGAGAATCGTTAAAATGCGTTGATCTCATTGCCAAGAAGGCCCACCAATCAAACTTTTCAAACACGTTGCTTCAAGACCCTCCCCCTGACTGTCTTGAGCTCCTTGTCAATGACCTTCTTTAGTTCTCCTTTCTTTATATTTCTGTTTAGTTTGGTTTTCTTCCTTAGTTTTTAGGCTCTGTCTTTTGTTGTAATTTCAAGCTATCTTGTCTTTCGATTCAAAAAAAAAAAAAGAATAAAGTGGACTTCGAATATTCAATGCCTTTTTTTAAAATTCTTTTGGCCACAACGAGAGTACGTGACTCAAAATCTGCTTATTGGAATTTGACATTTATATTTCAGGCCGAAAGAAGAAGATTTTTTTTCACCAGGAAAAAAAAAAGAATTTATAATGTTTTTGCCATCATATATATATATTTTTTAAAGCGAACCCGATGCTCGAGACGAGTCATTAACCGCCAGATTTGGTGCTTTTTGAATCTGTGAAATTACGCGGGGTTAAGGGTTCAGTGTTCCTATTTTCCCACTGAGCCCACTCGACTAACCTGAAACCCTAACTCATGCTTTCATGATTCGGAGTGTTACATCTCTGTTACCGTGCAATTTCACTCAGTTTGGTATAAAGTTACAGTAACTTAATCGGTGAAAATGGCGATGGCTGGCTTGTACAGGCGGTTACTTCCTTCCCCGCCTGCGGTAGAATTCGCTTCATCTGAAGGAAAGGTTTGTCGCACTTGTTTTACCCTCCACCTACATTCCTCTGTTTGTGCAACTGCTTAAATCGGGGTATTTTCTGGGATGATTGTCGGCTTGTTGCATGTATTTCCAGTTTGAGATGATGCGGCTTCAAGCTTTGAAATAGATTGCGTAGTAATAATTCAATGTTTCTCTGATCAGACATTGTTACGATTGGTTTTGGATTTTTCCATGCATATTATCATCTCTTTTTAATTCACGAGTCAATAACCCAATTTCGTTGGCTTCCAGCAACTTTTTCTTGAAGCCATTCAAAATGGAACAATGGAAGGATTTTTTAGATTAGTTTCTTATTTTCAAACACAATCAGAGCCTGCGTACTGTGGATTGGCAAGCTTATCCATGGTCTTGAATGCTCTTGCTATTGATCCTGGAAGAAAATGGAAAGGTACGCGTATAGTTTCACGAGCAATTATACTTTACGGTGCACCTTTGACTCCATAGATGATAACTTTATTCTAGGGGATTGAGGAGCCAAGACTTGATGTAATTCCACTGTCGTGGCTCATAAAAACTTCCCAAGCTTTAGTTAGTTAAGTTGATATTATTTTTCATTATCCTCAAGATTCCTTCAATTTCCTGGAAAAATATTGATGGGAATTGGATCATGACATTTGTCCATTCTAAGAGGAATGATTCAATTAATCTTATACCAATATAGTGTGTTTACATGTTGCTTTCTTCTTTATATTCCTTCGTTCCATGGCTACATCCTGACATGTTAATGTCTTGTTACAGTGTGGGGCTAGTGGCTGCTCATTTTTTAATTTCTTGCCACACCTTATCATCTGCAGCAAAAATTCCTTACACTGACTGCAGTATCTTCTTTATAAGTAATTGAATTTAATAAGATCAATCTGAGTTTTGTTAATGTTGTCAAACGTATCGCTCTTGGAAAATTTGTCTACAGGTCCTTGGAGATGGTTTGATGAATCTATGTTGGACTGTTGTGAACCTCTAGAAAAGGTCAAAGCCAGAGGTATCTCATTTGGGAAGCTTGTATGCTTGGCTCATTGTGCTGGAGCAAAAGTTGAGGCCTTTCATACGAATCAGAGCAACATTGATGACTTCCGCAAATACGTGATGAGATGTTCAGCCTCTGATGATTGTCATATAATCTCTTCATACCACAGAGCTGTTCTCAAACAAGTATGTATTACTACTTTGATGCTACAGGAAATGACAAAATTTTGTTGCTTTGTTCATTGTTATTCACCATTTTCCACTCTGTGATGTTCCCATTACCAATGGTTTTGAATCTATAGCTTTTACGAGGTTAAGAAGTTGCAAATTTTCTATTGCCCATGTCTATTATTACCAGTAATTGAGTATTTCTATTTGAGCTTTACAAGATGAGCTTCTCATATACCATTACCCAGTATCCTTGGTAATCAATATTGATATGTTCTATTGTGGAATAGCAAGAATAGTAATTAAATTTTCATGACAGACTGGAACTGGTCATTTTTCTCCTATTGGTGGCTATCATGCTGGAAAGGACATGGCCCTTATTTTGGATGTTGCACGTTTTAAGTATCCTCCTCATTGGGTCCCACTTACCCTTCTCTGGGAGGGCATGAACTATGCTGTCGAAGACACCAGACAACCTAGGGGGTAGAGTTTCTTGAATCTGATTTTATAAAATTTCTGGTTAGTTTAACATGGTAAAGATGATTGAGATCAGCGGTTGCATCACTATTTGCTCAAGGATGATATGGAAAGAGGAGTGATTTTCTGTACAATAGATTTTTTTTTTTTGGTAATTGGACCTGGTAATTGTATGATGCTTCTTTTCTTTATGGCTATCTCAAAACTGGAAGACCTGTTGAAATCAAATCATGATAATTTATCTTTATGAAGGAGGTAGCATGAAATTTAGGTTCGAGTTACGGGAGATTTCTGATACATGAGGTATGGATCTTCTAAAAGGCGTCTTGTTGGGGTTAATATAGCAAATTCAACCTTGGTTTTTGTTGACTGGTACAAATTCATTGTCTTTTCTTTCACCTCCTAGTAAAACAAAATATATACTAAAGGAATACATTACTCATGCAAATTTTGCTCATTTCTTCATGTCATTTCCCTCTATGTTATAGTCTACTTTTTTTCTCTTGGTAAATGAAGAAATAACGCATTTAATGGGAGATTATATTTACTTCTGTTAGTTTCTATCCACAGGTTCATGCTTATATCAAGGCCTCACAGGGACCCTGGTATGCTTTATACCCTGGTATGTTGCATCTGTTATAAAGTCAGTCAAAACATCACAAACAAAGTAAACAATCAAGAGTTTTGTTGCGGGTATCACATTGTTGGATAGTTCTCCCTACATTGATTTGTTGGATAATTCTTTTTTCCTCTCTGAATTCGAGCATGAAGAGTGAAGTATAGGGCTTGCACAGATGTACAATTAGAGATTCCTTCATTGTTATTGTTTGTCCATTAAATCATGATCCTTTCACCATCCTTCATCAGTTGGGCATATTTTGTTTATGTATGTTATGCTCGTTTAATTTGATTGCTGATGTTGGTCATTGGATGTATTATGCACTTTTGCTGAAGATATGTGTTGTTCTTGAACTTGTAGAGCTGCAAACATGAGAGTTGGATTAGTATTGCAAAATTCCTTATGGATGATGTTCCCCTTCTACTAAAATCAGACGACGTGAAGAATGTTCACAAGGTGCTCTCAGTTGTAGTCAATTCGCTTCCATCTAATTTTGGGGATTTTATCAAGTGGGTTGCAGAAGTCAGGAGGCGAGAGGATGGTAGTCCAAGTTTGAGTGTAGAGGAGAAAGCTAGGGTTTCTATTAAGGTAATGGTTATACTTTATCTAATTGTCATGTTTCTGTCCATCAGTAGTTAATCCTATTTTGTGCTCATAGTTTTAAGAGGTACATTTTGTTCTGCAGGCAGAAGTATTGAAACAGGTGCAGGAGACTCGGCTTTTTAAACATGTCACTTCTTTTCTATCAAATTCTTGTTGTAGGCTGCCCTCTATTTCAGGTCACGGAGACACTTTACCTGACATTGCAGCAAATGTGTGTTGCCAAGGAGCAGAAATTCTAGGCGGGAAGCTCAGCTCATCGGCAGTGTATTGCTGTAGAGAAACATGTATGAAATGCTTGAAAGCAGAGGGTGACAAGCCAATCACAATGGTCTGTGGGACTGTAGTAAATGGTAACAATGAACAAGGGGTTGATGTTTTAATTCCTTCTCCTCAAGGACCGTGTTGTGATTGCTCTGGTCCAAGTAAGTACATTGAAATGCACCCAGCTAGCAGTGACGTGCTTACAGCACTGCTACTCTCGCTGCCATCCACAACGTGGATTGGCATCAAAGATGGGCAAGTCCTGAAGGAAATACATGAACTTGTTTCAATTGATAACCTTCCTACTTTGCTGCAAGAAGAGGTAAGAAGCTCTCATTTTCTTTTGATAAAAAAGGCTACTTTTACGTTAGTAAGTGTGATTGTTAATTATATTGTCTGCAATGATATTTTTTGAAACATCATTGCTTAATCTCGATGCCCAGGCATGCTGAATAGTAATATCTGCGTCATTCTATGCAATCGTTTATAATCACTAATTCACAAATATCTATATATCTTGCAAATAGGGAACTGTGCATTTTAGTCCTAGGAAGTGCTTGAATGAGGACAAGTTAGAGATCAACAAATGCCTCTGGACGATTTTTCCGGCCCTGGTCCCCCAGTAAACCTGAATTATTGTCCATACAATCTTGGTGCACTAAGCTATAGTGGAATAGGCTGATCATTAACTGAATACGTTGCTGTCACTTTTCAGAACATTGGCTTCTATTGCTAATTCTACTCTTTCCTGTTTCTACCTTTTTTTGTTGTGATATTTCCTGTTTCTACATTTCTTATCATAAATATATCCATCCCAGGTTTTGCACCTAAGAAGTCAGCTTCATATGCTAAAGAAATGTCAAGAGAACAAGGCAGATGAAGATCTTGGTGCGCCTGTCTCCTAGCATCACCATTTCTCATTTTCTTCATCGAGCCCATATATCCGTAAGACAGGCATTGTGAATTCAATAATTTAGGCACACCTTGCCGAAGCAATGTCCTGCGTCCAGTTATTTGTCCGAAAATAACTGGTATCTGGAACCCCTTGGTATCCGAAAATACCAAGGGGTCAGTTTTAAGGTTTAGGTAAATCATGTTATACAGACTACAGACTGAAGTTCTCGCTGGAACTTGCTTTGCACACGAGATTCAAGCATCTGGAGCACTGCCAGCTCACTTCATCACCCTATTAAGTTGTCCGGTATTATAAAGTCACTTGACGTGACTACTGTCTATTGGAGAATAAGTAAGCCTGTTGGTCAAAAAATTTATGGCAAGTTTTCACATTCACTTGTATTTTTTGAATGTCTCATTTATTCAACAGTGCGTGTTTGAATACTATTTAAACTTATTTTAAATAGCATGGTTACAATTGAAAGTGGTTTCATATATTTGGTAATACACTGGCGGCTTGCATTTTTTTATCCTTCTTAATGACGTGGTGGCATGGATTTTTCTTACTTCGTAAATCATGTTCCGCAAAGCTATCTATTATTGACCTTTCACATTTATTCTCTACGCAAATGATTAGGGAAACAAGGATTCTTCAATTTCCATAAAGTTTTTCTCTGTTACTATTTTCTATCTGTATAGACAAATAGTTTGTGGGTTATTGCTATGATATTGTCGTAAAATCAACAAATAAATTCTGTCTAGCAAAGACGACAATCAAAACGTAGTGAATGAATTGACTCTTTGTATGATTTTATTCGATCCCAAGAGAAGTCAAAAAAGAATGGGAGGATTAGTCCCAAGAAGAAAAATAATTACTAAAAATCCTAATAACAACTTGAGTAGGGTATAGTGACAATTTTAAAATAAAGAATGACAATTTTTTAGATTTATTTTGTAATTTTTTTTCCTCAGAATTTTATTGTAATTCTCTCAAAAAGAATTTGATATGATAACTAGACAAGGCCGAATTAGACATTTCAAAACAATATATAATAAAAAAGGCATTAAAAAGGTTATAAATTATTAACAAGGACTTTAAAAGTTAAAATACTTGTAATAACTCATTCTTCAATTGTTTTATTTTATAACATTGACAGAAAAGTTATAATTTTTAAAATATTATCAATATTTTTAATTATAATTTTTATTTTTATTGAAAAATAATTATAATTATATTTTTTAAAGAATTTAAATAGTAACAATTTATTCTATCGGTCTCCATTCTTTTTTTTAATAGAAAACAATTAAAATGCATTAATTAATTATAGAAAAAAGTAATACAAGAGTATAACTAAATACTACATATGATCTTTAATATAAAAGCTAATTGACTAATTTAAGTAAATTAAGAAAGTTTATTAATTTGTTATTTATAATAAATAGGTGTTATCTTTTTTTAGAATATCCTTACTAATAATGTTTATTAGCTAAACTATCACTTTGATGTATGTGTTCCTAGAAAAGAAATTTATTCATTTTTTGAGGTTTCCCAGAGCGTGGAAACATACAAGAACTCTTGAATTGAAATGGAAAAATAAATGTAACTCCAGTTACTTCAAAAAACATTTAACACATAAAACTACTATAAGAGTTACTCTAAAAAAATAAATAAATATGAAGATAAAATAAATCAGAATCTTGTATTTATAATTAAATTAAATATCAAAAGAAGAGGCGAGAAATAAAATTATAGAGAAGAAGGTGCCTGCATATGGGGCGCTATGTTGACTCTCTCCCTCCCACTGTTTTCCCTAACATAAACGTTGACGGTGTTTCAGAAGTCAAATAGCAGCTTCTTATGCACGCAAAACGGGACCGCGCCCCACGTCGAAATTCAAATAAATTGTCGACGGGATTAAAAACGAAGCAAGACTGAACAGGCCGAAATTACTTTCAGTGTCGTCTCAAGATTCACGATGGCAACTCCAAGTCTCTACCGAAGAGCCCTCCCTTCTCCCCCCGCAATCGAGTTTGCTTCTCCCGAAGGAAAGGTACATCGCTACAAAATTCAGAAGAAAAAGCATCAAATCCCTAATTTTGGCAATTTAGATCCATTCTTCAAATGATTTTGTATGATGAAGGATCGTGAGGTTGTGCAGAAAATTTTTGTGGAAGCTCTCGCACAAGGAACCATGGAAGGCTTCTTCAAATTAATTTCATACTATCAAACGCAATCTGAACCTGCGTACTGTGGACTGGCCACACTTGCAGTCGTCCTTAATGCACTTGCTATTGACCCTGGTAGAAAATGGAAAGGTGTGTCTTTCAGTGCTTTCTTTTTCTTTTCGAATCAGGATTTCTAGATTACGTTGAGTTATGAAAGGATAATCAAATGCGACATCTAATTTGTATGGTAATGTATTGTAAAGAGCTTCTAATCCTTTGGAGAATCTTCACGTTCATATTACGTACTCATTGGATACCACCACGACACGTGTCCCTCTTTTTCTTGCCACAAAAGGAATTGTGTCAGGGTTTGAGATTGCCGCGAGCTTGCGTTGCGTTGCTTTATCGTACGTATCAATGTCCGTTGCGTCTTTAATTTCAAGGACATAATGTATTAAGATCTATTAATTTCTTTACAAGTCGCGCCCGTTGTCAGATAGCAACCGTGGTTTCCTCTCTTAATTTCTAAGTGCACTTCTCACTTCTCTGTTTT